AAGAGGATGAGACTGGCACCTCCCTGAGGAATTCACACTGTTGTGGCTGGGGGGCTTTGGGTACTGGGGGTTTAGGTTGGGAAGATTGCTAGAGGTTGTAGCTAATAAACATAGCTGGACTGAATTGGCATTGTTTCTTGGAGTTCTTTGGGCTAGGCCTGACATGACTGCAACTTTAGGTGATGAATGTACTGTATATCTTCAGTGATGGTGATTACAAATGCTTATGTACTGATTTTTTAAGTCTAGAATTTCAACATATCCAGGATTTTTTTTTTATGTTCATTCAAAAACTGACTTGTAGTGACAAATTCAGCAGTATGTTTGCCCAAAGTTCATTTTTCATGAACCCTATTTTTGTCCAAAACTAGATTATCCATTTAATAACATATACAATATAAATCACACTGAAAATTAACCAATATACCAAATCAACACAGCTTTTCTTTCTATGCATTTTTAGGCCCAATAATAACCCTGTAACTTTTCTCTGCTGCTCCAGCCTCCGATGCTTACCAGCTTAGGGGCTTATCCACCTTGCCAGTTAGTCCATCACTGGAACCATTTTTAAATTTAAATTTGGATTGCCTTCCATTAATCATTCACTGTCAAAATGACCTCAGGGTATGTTTTTCTGCTCTATTTATGAAGTATACTTTTCTGTATTATGCCTCCCATCTATTTCAGAGACACACTTTAGTTTGTTTCAGGCTAACTGCAACAATTCATTAACTACTTTGTAGAGGTAGGAATACCCTTTTAGCTAAGTCAGTGTTTATTATCATTTGTAAAGTCTTTTAGATCTACTATTTTCAGGAGTGCTGTAATAGAGCTATAGCACAACTCTTACCTTGCAGACAGAAGGTTGCTGGTTGGAAACCTGATAAAATATTCTTGAATTCCTATTTTTCTTACTCTGAGCTTCCTACTTGCTTTGTTTTTTTAAGTTTAGTGCTGCACCATTTCACCATTTTTCCAGTCACCTGTAATAGCAGGGTTTCAACCCTCAGCTTGCTTCTTCCTTATGTGACTGGAAAACTTTTTTAAAGAAAAGAATGCACAGAGAAAAGTAGGAAGCTCAGGGGAAAACAACAACAAAAACAACATTTCTGCCAGGTTGTGAAGTAGCAGCTTTCTTTTTACAAGGGTCGAGTTACAATTATTGTGCTATTCCAGAAGTCAGGTTAAAGACAGCTCTAAAAGACATTAGGAAGAAACAGGGCAGTGATGAAAAGGTTTTTTTTAAGCTGATTGTTGTGCCTGAATGTATGTGCATTCTGATGCTTTAATTTGCATATATAAATTCAATTTAACTTTATGTATGTACTGTATGTATGTATATATGTATGGTGCGAGACTAGGAGTAAAGTAACCCAAGTTGTAGTCCTCCTTTAGGTATGGAAGCCAGCTGGATACTTTGGGCCAGTCACGCTCTCTCAGCCCTAGATTAGGAAGTTGAAAAACATCTATCTACCAACCTACACTAGACTAGCATGATAAATTAAGGTCAATAACCTTCAGTGAAGATGTCTGTATCTTGCAGTGGATTAATTCACGCTGATGATAGTAGTAATATTACTTAAAAGCTGTGACTTCTAATTACTAGAAGGGAGACAGCATTGAACATCCTTGTGGATGCCCTCAGGCAGAATCAGGATGGGGGAGGTGCAATCTCCTTGATCTCTCAATGGAGAGTTGCTGGAGTTAGGCAGCCTAGAAATTTGATTAAAAAATATAGATATAGATACGCATGTGCTCATGCGCGTGCACACACACACACTAAAGTATTTATGTCCAGGAAAACCAGAACAAAAGAAGAAAAGTGATTGGCAATTGCTATTTTAGAACAGGAAGGTGGGAGGATATAGAAGCAGGGAATTGTCCAATGGGAGAATGTAGTAGCCTGCTGAAGTATCTCAGCCTGGATGGGGTTTTCTTAAGCTAACTAGAGTCAAACCAGCATGAGCACAGGACAGGAAAGCTTAAAATGTGGATAAGAGAACAATGTCAAACCAACCAACTGACTAACCAGTTCCTGTATGTTATATTTAATGACTTAAAAGTGGTGGTAGGGGGCAAGGGGAATGCTATTTCTCTGTTCAGCTGCAATTTTTAATTGCTAGAAAAGAAAATTTATAGTCTGAAGAATGATATTGGGCAGAGGCTTATCCAATCTGGATTGGGGCCCTAGCATGCCAAAACCATTATGTCAGCTATTTATTCATTTGTTCAACATTTTTATAAGCACTCCAGTGCTAAAGATATGAATAATATTGCTTCTAGATAAGCTCTGAGGGTTGACCAAAACAAACATTTCATGAAACAGCAAAGTACTTCCTCTACAGTGGGATTGTGATGTTCATCTTCTTATTTCAGATTCCTGGCCATTAAGACTAAGCTCCCCCTCCCCCCTGTGGCCCTCATCTAATTTGCTTTTTCAGATGAACTCATTAGACCCCCTACCTCCTGGTTTCCAACTCGCTGCATGGCATCACCCAAATGAAAGTAAAAGCGGCCATCATCAGTGCCAGGATCTCCTGATTCCAGACCTTCCTAGAAGAAAGTGGAAAACCACATCTATTACCTGTTAAGTCATTTTAAATTCATCTATAAGGCTATCAGTGTACTGGGATCTACAAGAAACTGTGCCGCCCAGACAACTATGCCCCCCACTCATGCTCCTTTTCATTTGCACACATATAATGATTTTTCAAAATTTCTGCTTCCAGCATCTCACTCCCATGACTCAATTGCTGTTTTCATCTCCTACGGTAGAGTTGTTTGCATTTTCAATCCATATTTTGGCAAACTCTGGATTTCCCTAAATCTGCTGATACCTCTGATGTAGATGGTGTCATTTTGGCTATATAAAGTTCTGTATTCAAAGAACTTTATTGTTAGCATAACTGGATTTACACAGTTCTTTCCTGAAGAGTTTTATGAACCTTATCTTAGTATTCCTAAAGTTTTGTATCTCACTCTTCTTATTTTCACCCTGATTATGAAATCAGTTACTACTCATCTTTTCCCCCTCATCTTTTCAGCCACTAAAATGCAATGTACACAGGCATTTCTAGAGGTGGAGATGCAACACAAGATGCTTCTCCCTCAAATGATCACATATGAAAATGATGATTGTACATAAATCAACATGTAATAACTTAGTATTTTACCAGATAAAGGATTCCTTCAGAAGAACCATCACAAAAATGGATATATGAATTAGCTCTTGAATAGAGTGGGTAGGAAGCAAGAAAAATCATTATATGACTTCCTGGAAGCCCCACATTGGAAAAGAGAATCTGGAGATATATAGGCCACCAATGGTCTTTAGGACATCTCTACTATTAAGTACTTCATCTTTGATCCCATACATGACATCCCAACTGCCCTCCTTTTTGCAGCAAAGGCCTTTTGCTTTCTCAACTAGAAAAAGATTAAGGTCCTAATGTAAATGTTACTTTCAAATAGGGAATGCTTTCTTCAATCTTGTTCTCTGCCTTCAGAATGAATCCATAATGCACTTTTGCAAAGCCATCATTGGGAGCCAGGCTCAGAACCTAAGGGAGAGCAAAACAAATAATAATTACAACTTTACCTCTGCAGCTTTTTAAAACATTGACTCACAGCCTTTTAGAAAGTCCTAAAACTATATTAGTAATTCTTAACTCAACACCAGGATTCTTTCTGTCAGTGGTTAGAATTACATGAGTCCTTCATCTTCTCTATATGGTAGCATTGTGGAATCTGGAGTGGGACTAGCAGTTGGGAGACCAGGTTCTAGCCCCTCCTCAACCACTGGGGAACTTTGGGCCAGGTGCTCCCTTTCAGATCATGAGTCAGAGTGGTATGGTGGTTAAGGTGTTGGACTACAAGCAGGGAGGCCCAGGCTGTAGTCCATCCTCAGCTATCAGATGCTCACTGGGTGACTTTGGGCCTGTCACACTGTCTTAGCCCAAACAACCTCACAGGGTTCTTGCTGGAGAAAAATAGGAAGGGGGAGCGTTATGTATGCTGCCTTGAGCTCCTATACAAAAAAGCCAGGGTGTAAATCCAATAAATAAAACATAAATAAAGACAAAATGATGTCATGATACCCAGCTTCCTGCTCCACATTATTTTCTGGCCCAGTAGAAACAAAGAAATTCACACTTGACAGCAGATGTTAAATATTACAAGAAAGAAGTGGAAAACTAAACACCAGTGGAGGATACTAGTTTTGGTAGCATTTTTTTATTGCCTCTAAAGTGGAATGCAGTTTCATAGAAATGAAATGTACTAAGATCCATTTTAAGAAGCAATCTGAATGTTGGATTTGATATCTGTACAATGGATTTAATGGCGGGAGGGGTGTCAAACAGTACAGAGAACTGTGGAGATATTGCATGTGTGTTTGATAGGAAATTGTTCCTTGTTACCAAGTCACCTGACTCCATTAGCCATTACATGCATAGTTCAGAACACTAGCACAGCCTGAATTAGAGAAAACATGCCTTCAGATTTCTTGTACTACAGAGGAAGCCCTTGAAAAAAGTAAATGCAAGATCAATTGCTGTTTGAAAACAAAAGCAGCTTTGATTTCTTACAAAGATTATCTTTAATGTATTGTGTTCAGTTCCAGACTATGACAGTCAAAAGAAAAATATATAATGGGGAGAAAAGTGAAATGCTACCCCTTTTTTTGACAGTGCCTCCAAGCTGTGATACAATGGATGGTCTGATAAAACATTTCCCAGAAATAGAGCAAATTTCCCATCAGACTGATTTCCAGTTAAAGACATACAATTCTTTGATTTAAGTTTTAGCACTTAGCCTCATCACTGAAGGGAGAGTGAGATTTTTTTAAAAAATCTGAATGACTGAAGGGCTGAAGAACATTGAAGTCAGGCTGTTAACTTCTGGCTCTTTAGCTGCTGACAGATTACAAGGCCGTGCATCCCTTATCATTGGTCTTGCTGGTTGAGGCTGTTGAGAACAGTAGTTAACAGCATTTGTATGATGACAGATAAGGTTTCTGAAAGTTTCTTTATCTGCAACTGACCTACAATTTCTTATTGCAATTCACAGATGTGAAGGAGTATACCATGGTCAACAATATGGCACCCACAGATGCCATGATGCCAGAGCTGCCATTATAATAACAAATAATAAGTAAAATAGCCTCAAATCTCATGATAGCCATGCAAGATTTCTGTTTCTCTCATGGGATTTCATAAGAGTTTGGCCATGTTTTTAATTCTGCGGTTACGTAATATGAGGGGCATCCACAGCATGGTGTAAAATGCTTGATGTTGCCTTTGTGACCATGGGAAGACACATTCTTTGTTCCTCATTGGCCCCAAAGCAGCTAACATTCATAGACCTTCAATAATTATCTCCTATAGTTGCATCTATATATAAATTATAAATAACTTATAAATTATAAATTACACTGCAAATTCTCTTTTTCGGTGATGCATATGCATTTTTAAAAAGGTGTACTTGACCTTAGTTACACTGAAGACTATGCATCTTAATGTTGCTAAATATTGGCAAGAATTAATAAATTAGATTAGCAGAGGGCAAAACTGTCCATATGCTCAAAATATTTTGATTTGTATTAGTGTCTCCCATCATTTCAGTTGTCTGGTGTATCTACTTGATTTGCACAGCCTTTTCTCCCCAGTCCTCCTCTCACTACACATTTTCCTTTTTGTGAAGTCTTTGGCACAAACCCCACTCCCCATGTAATATGTATGTGGCTTCCCCCTTTACTGCTCTGTTCACTTTCTCCCACTTCTGACCTCTTGTCAAACTGTAAAGGTCTCTCCTCTTGTATTCAGTGAAGGGTCATGCCAAGTGATGGTGGGATACAAATAAGGTAGCAAAGCAACATTTACAAATAGGCCAGAAATATATATCATTCAGATAAGAGGGGTACTCTGTCATTAACCCGTGCCAGGAGATAATGAAAGACATCCTTATCAAGAATCATCAGGTTCAGAAAATGGAAATCACTTGCTCAAGCTAAGAACAGCAAACAGCAAACTCAAAAGAGCCAACTGTTTGAAAACAATTCTGTAATTCAAGAGGACTTTCCCCCTTCTATTTCAATAGAAAAATACACCTATGTCCCAAGCAATAAAAATCTAATACGCACGACCAAACCTCTTAGGCTATTTTAAAATGGCACATCCTAATATACTTCCTTTGCATTTGGACCACATATGGACTACTTGACTTAATAATGAAATACAAGCTAAACTCTGAATGATTGCCTCTTAGTGAATTATACACTCTGCTCTCCTTGTTGCTCTACTGTTATAACCTAAATCTTTCAAATATGTCAGTGCATCTTTTTTCTGCTTGCTTTTCCAGTATTCTTTCTTAGATCTCAAGAAATGGCTGATCAAAGTTTCAAGCTACTCATGAAACTTTGTTTGCATCAGAAAACAAACAAATAGTTTTAAATTATATTGAACAGAATCTGTCAACCTCTCTCTCCTTAGATTGCTTTATTTGTCCTCGGTGATATCACTAACTAAACTTTGTTGGCTACACAACATAGTGACATCTTCCCAAATACCACAGGAGCATAATGGGCTGGAAATATATACAGGACTATTTCAGAAGCACTGTCCTCACTCTCAACTTGCTTAATTTATCCATAGCAGTACTCCTCACATAGCTGCGTTTGATTGACTAAATACAGCTATGAGGTTGCCCTGAATATATCCTCCTTATCTGACTAATCCCGGAAGAAGAAAGAGTAAAAGAAAAAGTAAAAAAAGTAAAGACCTAGAATTTGAAAAAAACAACACTAACATATAAATAAGGAAACCTACTCTACAAAATTCACATGCATTGCCCACTAATGCTTTAGTAGAATATCAAAATGATGTCCTTAGATTTGTGAAAATAAATAGGCAAAGTAATTAATTAACTATTTTTATATAGGTTATTTATCCAACTATCTAGGTTATTTTTTAAATGCATACTTATATATAAAAACTTCTATAATCACAAATAGTATTTTAGGAATCATTTATCCATACTTAATAAAGCTCACCTCCTCATAAACCTTCTTGGCATTGCTGTTGTCTCCTATCAAAAGATAACCCACTCCAAGGTTGTTCTTGAATGAAGTATCATTAGGAAACAGATCAACCAGTTTCTGTAGCGTAACTACTGAACCTCTCATGCGACCTAATTTGATGGGAAAACAATAAAAAAGCAACTTGGCTACATGAAGCAGCAACTTGGAATACAGGAAATTTTCCAACAAAATAAACTAAGATTGATAAAACAATGAAACATGTGCTATTAAACATTAGATACATGCTGTAAAATGTACCCTTCTAAGCCATGCCTTAGAAAAGTATGCTGTGGCACGCATTGCCTAGTGTTATGGAGACCTCTAGTGCACAATCAAAGCATTTTTCCTATCCTACTCCTCTTTTTGGACAATAAAGCACATTCCAAATCGTTGGCCTTTTTCTCAACTGCATTAGTTATAAGTATAAATAAATTGACCTTAATCCAAGTATTCATAATTGTCACACTATTTGATGAAAGGCTTGCTGCTCCTTATATCATTGAAACTATGTAGACTACCTCAGAATAAAACTAGGAGAATTACATCTTTATTTTCTCAAATTTAAATTACTTCTGTAATATAATGCTCCTGGGAATGATTAGCAGTTGAAATGCATTTTGTGACTGATGATTGGGGGGGTTCTTGCACAATAAAACCTGAGCTTTTAAGCCTGTAAACTGCAATTTCAGCCACTGGAAACGGACAGGTGTATTTGCATTAGGCCCATATTAGATTCATTTTAACAAAGAGATTTGTTCAAGGAGGTGACCTGATTCTCTTTGTAGATGTGAGAGGTAACATGAATCACTTTGACAAAACAATTTGTGTTACCTCCAATTGCTCTGAGCTGCAGGAGAAGCATTCTTTACCAGCACTGGCCACTTGCCTTCCGGGCAGCTCCAGCACATGTTGTAAAGCAGTGTTGTCCAAACTTGGCCACTTTAAGATGAGTGGACTTCAACTCCC